TAAATTTTAAATAATAATGAGTCAAAGTTAAAAAAAATTGAACAGAAAAAAGTCAACAATTAACATATTTAATGAGACTGAGGGAGTATTAAAGTAAAACAATAATGATATAATTTTAATCAACAACATTAAGTATTAACGTGTATTTAAATCATAGGTCGGGATCCATTTACATTATATAAAACCCTTTTAGTTTTACATCTTTTTAGGATCGTTGGATCGAGCAAAATCAAATGTTGAGATTAATTCCTTATTTTTCCGATGAATATCTTTTTTATTTTCTACTGTTAATTTTAACCTTTAATTTCTCTAATTGAATAATCCAAAAAAAAGTATAAAACTAAAAAAAAATTGCACAATGTAATTGAATCATACACACTCAAGCAACAAATAAAACAGGATAAAAATATTTTTGTCTATGTAAATTGCCCTATTTAAAAATTTAATTCTTTCAAATTCAATATTATTAATTAATCTAAATCATTGATATTTTAAAAACTTTATTAATCACATTGATACGACCTCAATGTTCATTTCTTTATAAAATGAAATTCACATAATTTAGCTAACACGTGACCGTCAAATTTAGAAAAAATAATATAATATGATTCATTGACTAACGGTTTACGTCATTACTGTTGCGATATTAATATGACACTTCACGATATTTATATAGTGGTCCACAGTGAGTGGTGACATAACTGATGATGTGGTCGATGGGTTAAATTGATTCTTTTCGAGTGTGAGGGCTAAATTGATTTTTTTTTAAGTTCAATGACTTATTTGATTTAAAAAATAAAAAAATTTAAATTTTAAATATCAAAATATTCAAAAAAATATCAAAATATCAAAAATAAAAATTAATTTACTAGAAAATAAATATATATATTATTATTTTGTAAATCTAATTTGACTTGACTTTTATTTATATAAATCTAAATTCTTTCGTCCTCTATAAATTTTATTTTATATATTTACATCTAACTATCTTAAACTTTAAATGTTTTTTTAATTATATTTCAATATCTTTTATAAAAATGAATTAAATAAATATCATAAAATATCATAAAAAATACAAATTTTAAAAATTATGAAATTAACATTAATTTATAAATTACAATGAAACTATAGAAATTAAAAATAAAAAAGTGTTATCCAAAGAGAAGCATTTTTAGTGAATAAAATATTATCAAGGGAATTAAACTTCACCTAAACTTAATCTAAAAAATAATAGGAATATCAACCTACTCAACTAATTTCTATTAAATACAATTCTACAAAGTCAATGTGGTTATGAACTCCACGTGTCTGAGACTTTGTAAGTCATCCCAGTATTTATTTTTGCAATTCTTCGGTGAATAACAAATATATCTCTACAAAATAAAAATAAAAATAAAACAAATTTCACATTAGAATTTAGAGATGAATTGTGAGTTTTATTTTTTTTTTCAAAAAAATAAAATATTTTTTATTTTTTATATTGAATTTATTGATTATTTTAATATTTTAAATTTAAAATACTTTTATTTTTTAAAATATCAAATAAGCCCTTAAACTCTATAAAAATTAATTTGACCCTCAAACTCGAAAAAAAAAACTAATATCAATGATTATAAGAGATTATCCTAATTATGTATTTAGTTTATGATTATAATGGTAAAGTTTTATTGTACTTTTATATATTTTTTATTTTTTAGTAAAATTAGCTACTTTTATTGTGAAAAATAATTTACATTTTTTATTAAGACATTTTTAAATTAAAATTCAATTAAATTATATTTAAAGTTAATAAAATTCATTAAATAATTACATTGTAAAATTTATTAAAAAATAGATTAAATGATATTAAACTCAATTAAATTTAGAAATTAAGTTTACACATATACATGAAAAGTAGACAAATATTTATGAACAATTTTACAATAGGTTTAGTAGTAAAGATATATACACAAAGAAGGTTTTTTTTCATTAGTTAAAATTTTAACTAATTATTTCTAGTTATTTATTTAAATATGTATATAAACATAAAAATATCACATCATGACATTAAATTAGTATTTATTATTTTTAATAAATAATATTATTTTAATTAAATTAATATTATATTGTATTGCAATGTTAATTTAATTAAAAAATTAATAAATAATATAAATATATTATATAATTTTTTATAATAATTAAAAAAAAACTTAATTACATATTTAATTTACTCTTAAGTATAGATATTCATCATAATTTAAAATTTTCTTTTTAATAAAAATATCTGTTTCTATTTGCGTTAAAAAACAATATAATATTATAGTGTGTCAGTCTCAGTAGTCCAATCAAATAATAAAAGAAATTTAATGGAATTTAATTTTCTGAAAAATCATTAGGATCACGTTATCTCCGTTAGCCAGCATGTTTTTACTGCAAATGAAGTGATATAAGTCGATCAGAAAACAAAATAAAAATTGACATTTTAGAATTCATAAATACATTTAAGTAGCATTTGGTTCGCTGGAATGTTTATGAGGAAATTAAAATGTGAAGGAATTAGAATATATAGGAATTATAATATGAATCTCAAACATGTTTGGTTGGCAGGAAATTGAATTGAAATTTAATTATATATTCTGTTTGGTTCGCATACATGTTAGATGAATTTGATTTCAGTAATGTAAAATGATAGAATTGTCATTCTTATTTTTTGGTTAATTTTAGTTTGTTTTATAACTTACATGTAGCAATATATTATAAAAAATTTAAAAATATTAAATTTTCATTTTATTATTGATTATTCATTTCAATAAATTATAAAAATCATACTAACAAATATCATAAGTTAAAATCATCCCAATTAGGGATGGTCATAGGTCGGTTGGATCGGGTTTTGGGTCCACCCGACCCGAGAACAAGGGAACCTCCACCCGAGACCCGACCCGACCAAAATAAAGTTTCACCCGACCTGAATATATAAATTAAAAACCCGACCGACCCGAAATAAAAAAAAAACTATTCAATAAAAATAGTGACTTAATTGAAAAATATACATAGAGAGAGGTATTATTGTAATTATTCATAAATATATAAGGTAAAATTATATATTTTTTTGGGTCGGGTATTTTTCACCCTAAACCCGAACCCGACTCGAATATCACACTTAAAAAAATCCGGCCCAAACTCGACCCGAATATCACACTTAAAAAAACCCGATCCGACTTGAATATCAACTTAAAAATCCGACATGACCCGAAATTTTTAAAAAAAATCTAACTTGATCCCGAAATTTTTTGGAAAAACCCAACCCGAATATCACACTTACAAAAACCCGACCCGACCCGAATATCAAACTTTAAAAAATCCGACCCGACCCGAACCCAAAATTTAAAAAAAAAATCCGGCCGATCCCAAAATTTAAAAAAAATCTGACCCGAATACTAAAAGATTGATGAGGGTAGTATGGTCAAATTTCACATTCCCTCCTCCAAAGGATTTCAATTTCATCATGTTATGGATGTAATTTAATTTCCTTCCCTTTATGGAATTGGATTCTAATTTCCTCTTTGAAAACTTGAACCAAACATGGAAAAATTGTGGAATTGGATTCCAATTCCCCTTAATTCCAAGGGATTCCAACGAACCAAACGCTACCTTAGTATTTCTCAACGCAAAGTGTTATTTGATTTATCTACGATTCAATTTATATTAGTGATTAAAAGAATAATTATTATTTTTTAAGATCACCAGTACGAACACTAACAACTCTAATAATATAGTTAAGCGTTAATTATGATATGATTGAGATTATTTAACACATATATTATTTTATAATTAATTTAATTTAATAAAAATTGTGATTTGATTTATAAATCAAATCTGCTATCTTTTTTGCATGCTATTTGCAGTAATCAACCCTGTCCCATCAAAACCCAAAAAACAGAAAAGATTTTAAGCACTCGATCATGCCCATTTATAATATATTATTTTATTAAAATGGTTTACTCTTTGTTTTTCAAATTAAAAGTTAGGCGTTCTATTAATACATCTTATAAGCAAGTGATTTAAGGTGCATCTCAAAAATTTATTTTATCTAATATCTTATTAAAACAAACTAAAATAACAAGTTCGAAAAAAAATTGTAATTAAACCTAAATACAAATCCTCCTTGAACTTAGTTTAAAATATAGTAACTTATTTATTTAGTCACGCATTTATGTTTTTAGTTTTATTCGTCATTTGATTATTTTTTAGAATCACATCTAATATTATATTTTGGTTTTGTTTAAGTCATCCATCGTAAAAAATAAATAGAATGATTAACGTTACAAATTTTTTATTTTTTAATGATTACGTGATATTATCTTATGATGATATATCAATCTTACCGTTAGTTTTAATAGGTGAGTGGCCAAAATAAAAAAAATGTAAGATTAGTATAAGTTTTAAAAAAATGATTAAGTGCTCAAAATGGAATATCTGGAATGGATGAGTGACTATAACGTAATTTACCCTTTAATTAAGGGGGAGAGCTACTATGCAAAAGGAACAATCGGTGGCTAGTAGCTAGATGTGTGACATCAACCTGCAAATGTACCAGAAGATTGGGTTTAATTTAGGGTCCCTATGTTCTTTTAATTTATTTCTAGATGTCTTTAAAGTCCTATTTCATGTAGGTTCTGCAAAGTCACTGCAGAATTTACCAGTAGAATGGAACTGCAATCACGTGAAGTTGAGAGTTTTTAATGCGGCCCCTAAATTACTCTACTTATTTTATGCTGGTCATATAATTCCAAAATACTCTGATTATAACATTGAAATATAACATTATAGTAATTTCATAATTCGAAAATCTCTTACGGAAGCTGTTCTCAACTTGGTGTTGGGGGTAGCCTACTATCTTACCTCCCCTTACCCCATACATATGGGAAAAAGAGAGCCATTTTTATAGTAATTTCATGCAGCATGATACTTTATGCGGATCAATGGCGACGGACATCCTATTCAAATTTCAGTTTTCACAGTCCAATAATATATGAATGGTATATAACATAGAAAAGGATTACACGATCCGAAAAGCTAACAAAGATTAAAGATTTATTGTGCCACCTCAGGTTGTTGATTTGCGACACTGGAAAGTTCTATTTAGGGATACATTTTTCCTAACACGAAGATGTAGCGAAACAAACACAAGAATTCTATATCCAAAAGCCATTAGGAGCAACACCAGTAAGTTCTCCCACTTGGAGTTGCTTCTTTGAGAGATGTCATAAGCACTATGGATTGCCTGAAACCCCGATATCGCCCGTACCTGCCCGACGGCAAAATTCATCCCGAGGTACTCGTTCTCCAGAATCCCCTATGATCAAAACATTAAAGATTCATTCAGCAGTGATAAAATTGCCCGACCGATACAGACATGGTTTGTATTTTGTATAAGGAATAGATGCACACAAACCTGGATGGAATAAGTGTGGAAAGCAATATATGATAATGGATACTTCCAGACGGGTTTTGGCAACTCGTTTCGGATTCTCAAATAGCCGGCGGCTAGCATCATTACCACCTGAAACATAATGTATCTCGGTCTTAAGACTGGAAAAGGTGAATATAGATTCGAATGGAATATAATTTTAAGAATTTAAATGAATGGGGAATAAAGGAGTGATGACTTACATGTATGGTTACGAGTGTTAAGACATTCCAGAAAATATTTTGCCACAAAGAAGTAACAGCCAGCAGCAATCCTTCATTGACAAAGAGGCACATGAAGAAATTCAGCACAAAGTACATCAGCAAGCTGAATTCGTCACGCAACCCTATTAAGAAATAGAACACGAGACTCGATGATATGGCGATGAGGAACAGGAACGGAATGCTGGAGAGAAGTTGCCCGAACAAAAAGACTAAAGCTCCGGAATGCTGGTTTGACTCCTCGCTGGCATATATCTGCAAAATAGAAACGCACCAATCATGCATTTTTCAGTTAAGATGGGAAATGAGTGGATTTCAAATTGGTACTTTTTAGCTAAAAGAAAAGGTACCAAAGACAGGTAAGATCACCTTGATTTCTTTCAGTAGTGAAGGTACTCCAGCAATGCTTAAAAGTGAAGTAAACGATACAAATACGAAAATTGCAGCGACTCTTTTCTGTGATGAGAAGAAGGATAAAAGATAGAAAAATACACAATCTAAATGAGTGAAACAATGATTATTCTGAAATAAAAAAATAATAAAAAATAAGTTGAACTACAGAAGCAGGATAGACAAGGACTTGGGCCATGCATCCAAAAGGAGGGACTAATTATGATGAACTATAGGATAATATGTTAAATTGCTTCTACTTGTTTATCACAACAATGTGTCATAACATAATTTGTTGCAAGCATCCCCACGAAATGCATTTATTGGACCAATGCGTCATCAACTACATGGATTGAATATTGAAGCAAAAACGTTTAAATTGTATTTGTCCCTTTGGTACCTGAAGAAATTTTTGGTTCAGTTTAGCCCCTGAACTTTCCAACCATGGTGACTGTTACCCAAGCTCCTTTTTTCGTTACAAAAAAAATATCATCGGACACTCTAGGAACGTGCCACATAATATATGTTACATCTGAAAAGCTTCAAGGGATTTCAAAAAAAACTAAGAAAATTCCATATGGATTTTTTTAACGGAAAAAGGGGCTTGGGTAACAGTCACCATAGTTGGAAAGTTCAGGAGCCAAACTGAACAAAAAAATTCTTTAGTATCAAAGTGATAACGAGATACAACTTCAGGGGCCAAAATTGCATTTAACACGAGAAAAAAATAAAATTCTGTTCTACACCAATGATGGTTTTCAAATTTAAGTTACTCGAGAAAAGTCCACATTCACAAAAGTAAGCTAGTAGAAGTTGATCTTTGCAGCTCGAAAGCATAGGAGACTTGCAATAAAAGGACATTAACGCATGTTATGACATGGCAAACCAACTAAGAAGTCATAACAATAAAAAAATATTCTACAGAAAATAAACATACAGCTTTAATAAATATAGATGTTTGCATCACATTGGTATAATGCTTATCGAACAACTTTAGGTCAAGTTAAGTCATATTCACCTAAACATAAGAGCAGACATATTTTGACTGGTGCACAAATGGTTGTACTCACCACAACTGAAGACAGAGAATGCCCCAAGCCCGAAAATACTGTTCCAATACACAGTGTAAGGAGCATATAAAGAATAAGCCGAAGCCAGTAGTATTTCCACTCCCTTGACATAATTAATAATGATCTCCAAGTTAAAACTGCAATTCGTGTGGCATTGCTAGTCTTTCCCTTGCTTTTGAGAAGAGGACCTTCCTGTGGAATGCAACAAAGTGAATAAAAATTAAAGGGGGTGACTTATAGCCATCATAAGGCTCCGGGAAATCATGTGAGAAAGCTTAACATACGGTGTGAATAGATGTCAACCAGCTAGACTCCATCATTCACTTACCTTAGCTCATTCTAACTTTTAAACTGTACACCTGAGGTATGTTAAACTATTGACTGAACCTCGGGCTTAACCAAAATGGTTCACCCATCTTAATTAGGTGAATCCTCACAAGGCCTGGGACCTGGGTTCAACCCCCGGCACTTGCAGATTCCCCTTTACTAATTTCCCCTCGATCTTGGCCTCCTCTGTACCAAAAACAACTATTTCTAGTTGTGTATAGTAAAACTGTTAAGGATTTGGGGCACAATTAGATTAAAATCTAACACATGCCCCAAATAAGAGCCAGTTATACATGATGACATATATAATTAAAGCTTCCTAGTATCCTATTAGTAAAAGCCACGAAATGATAAATGGTTATGGTTTAAGACAAATAAGAATACATATTGTACCCTCTCTGTGAGTCTCACTATCATAGTCTCAACAGCAGCTGCATCAGCTGATGATTTATATGTTGCCTCAAGAGTGCGAATTGCAACAGCAGTATCCATGTTCACAGATGAGAAGTCCCCATTGTCATCCTGTTAAAATGTACCAGCTCAGACAAATTAAGTTCTCAAGTAGCAATAAAAGACTAGAATTCATTATTCGAGAGTGAAACAATTAGAAAAAAAACAACAGTTTGTTCAAATACTAAAATAATATAGATCACGATAAAAGTATTTCTAAACCTCTTAATTTACCATCAAGCCAAACCATCCAATGGCTTTTGAGATCCGACAGAAAGGTTCTATAGATTCTATACTTTGGGAGTTTTAAGTGTTCTCCTAAGTACCATTGAGGTTTTGAACTATATTATACTTAATAAGAATCATTGAATACCTGCCAATTTTTGCACATTGCAATGATCCTGTCAAAATCTGTATTTATGGCACGTAGAAAGTGATCGGAGGGACTTTGCATAATTGGGCAAGGGAATCCAGCATTTGAGAAGTGCTTCATCAAGAAAAGGGGATAAATTAGAATAACAAGAAAGGAAAGATTTGTACTCTTCAGGAATATTAAGAGAAAAACAATTTGAGTGGTTAAATGGATTCTATCTTCTTCTCTTCAATCCACATTACAGGAACCAAGTGCATATATGAAAGTCTTTAAATAACATTCCTTTTCTTCCATATCAACTGATAATAGAAAATGAAAACAAAGACAAGAGATCAAAAATAATTATACTCATGTTATCTCTTACCTGCAAGCAAGCTAATGTCTCCCCAAAAAACAGGGTGTTCCCATTTGAGAGCAGACAAATACGATCAAGAGGCCAAAAACTTCTGTACTGCTCTGGTAAATGGTGAAATGAGAGTGCATCCTGTGCTTGCAAGTTTCTTAGTGTTACCATCATCAAAAGGGCAGAGACACTGAAAAATAAATAAAATATTAAAATTTAGTATCACAAATGATCTTGATTCAATGGAAAGTAGATGGCACAGCAATCATACAACCAGCATTGTAAGGAATGCAAGGGAAACGAAACAAATAACAGTAAAACATTTCTAAGAATTAAATTAAGGAAAATAAATGAAAAATTATACCTGTCAAGATGATAAAGAGGCTCATCAATGAATAAGATACGAGGTCTCATCACAAGTTCCCGGGCAATACTAACACGCCTTCTTTCACCCCTAGCAATGCCTTTCATATAGCAGTGGCCGCCAATCAGTTTGTTTGCATAATCGCCCAAGTACATGGCTTGGATGGCTTCCTCTACCACACTCTTTTTCTGACAGAAAAAACCAGGAAGTTGGAGCAAAGCTGAGTAGTATAGATACTCCCGGACTGTGAGTGAACCAATCAGAGTAGTTTCCCTGTCCACAAATCCCTGCAATTTGGATGTTTCAAAGTAAAAAGAATTAAACAACCTTGAATTCAATGCTTCCTTTCAATTTCTGTTCAACTAAAATAGAATCAAAGTTGAAAGGGAACAAAAACCAAATATCAGTTTTAAAAAAGGGATTTCATAGAAACCCTACTCATGATGCTTGCAAAATTTGAACCCTAAGTGGGCTGAGTATTTATAACCTAGAAAAATTCACATAATGAAGCAAGTGAAAGGAAAAAAGGATCTATGTGCTGCAGAACATGATTGCTTATCAGAGGTTTTCCTACAATCTATGATCCAAAACAGGAATGAGATTTGTTGACAATTTCAAGTATATTTTGACATGTGTAGAGTCACTTAATTCCAAAAGACCAAATCCAAAGGTTTCATGCGAGAAAATGCAATGTTATATATGTATCATTTTGGACAAAAAAAGATCAAAAGTGGTCACTTTCAGCAAAAAAGAATCACTCTGTCAAGATAAAACCATACTGAGCATCAAAAGTAATATTCAGTAAGTAACTTGACCCTCCATGAAAATGTAACTGAAACTCACATATGAACCATAAAGCAAGCTTGTTTTCGCCCCATTAATGAAGACTTCACCATACATTTTAGCCGAAGGATGTAATCTTCCTATATTCAAGAAAGAAAAATTCAGTCCTAAATATCTGAAATTAAACAACAGAAAAACATAGGACTTATAGTTAGTTAAGTAGCGAATACAAGTGTCATGCTAAAAGACCTGCTATAGCCCTCAGTAACGTAGACTTCCCAGATTTTGCAGGACCCATGATTACTGTCATCGTGCCAGGTAATGCATAACCATTGGAACTCTTGACAACCTTATCAGAATATTTCCTTTTTCCCTTGATAGTAACAGCCAATTCTTTCCACGCAACTGACGCACCGGCAGTTTTTCTAACAACAGCTCCACCTTCTGGCTGTGGTGGTGATGGCAAGGACCCGCTATTGAGTTTCGAGAGAGATGGTGAGACTGGCATATTTGCGGCATTGATAGAGTCACCACCTTCCTCCACCCTGACATCGATATCTGTATCTTCCCACTCAGGTGAATCCTCAAATGAGATAGGTTGTTGGAGAGAACCAGGCTTACGCAGATAGAAAAAATTACTCGAGGGCACCCTACTTGCTGGACTACTAGCTGAAGAGGAAGAAGACTTATAATTGTCTGACTGAGACTGTATTTCTTCCATTTATAACTCCTGATTTCTAAACCTTCGAAATCAACAGCACTGGCAAATTATTTGGGAAACTGCATGCATGATTGTTGTACCATCCACATTTTCAATGCTTTCGCAACCCTAATTAAAACATCGTGTCACCTGTTAAACGAAAACAACTTTTAAGCAATGATTCTGGAATTTGTACAAAGATACTGTAGGAAATCGAAAGCTCAAAGACTAATATAAGGTGTTAGAATATAATTTTCCTTGTAAAAGAAGGTTTTTGAGTTTGAAAACTACAGGCTGTATTCAATACGAGGAATTAATTAAACAAGAGATAGTTCATCATTTCAATCAAAATCAAGAGAGCTCAACTTCCCAGGAGATGATAGATAAAATTCAACACCATCAATGGGGCACCCAAAAAAAATCAATAGCTCAGTAGCACAATATCACAATAACCCACTAATCTTACATGAATGTAACATGTTTTCCAGCATACCAGAAAAAAAAATACTAATCGAATTGAGCTCCCCTTAACTCAAACTTCTCAATACTCCATTTCATAGCTAAAACAAACTAATGCAGTGAAATAATCCAAAACGAAACCTTCAGAAAAAGCATGAACAGGTTTAGCTAAAACAAACTAATGCAGTGAAATAACCCAGTAACTTGCTCAGCTCAAGATACTTACATAACCAGCAAAAACACAACCCCAACCTTGAAGTGTGTCGGCCTTCTCTTAGTATCTCGAGTACCAAATAGATGAGAACAAAAAAATAACTAGTAAAGATAATAAGCAAGAGATAAAGAGAAGTGTGAGTAAGAGACAAACCTGGATCTGAGTAAGAAAGAACCTCAATGGGAGAGAAAAAAAATGAAAGCGAAAAAAGTGCGGTAACCAGCGAGTCACTGAGCTGAATGAAGCAAATAAATGACTCTAAGCACTCGTCATATGTTCCCGGTTTACTTGACCCGCTTTTGTCGAGTTTCTTCTTTTACACTGCTTCTCTTCATTGCTGACATATCTATGTATACATTACTCGGTGCATTTCACGTAAATTCTTAAAGTATAAAACATATATAAGAAACTTATCAAAAGGATCTTAATGATAAAAAATATTAATTTGTTTATAGATTTTGAGTTAAAATAATGGCATTTGTAATATGAATCTATATTATTAATAGATTAAAAAATTCTGAACATATATTAATATCGTCTATATATTGGGCTAATTGGAGAAATAGTCCCTAATTTCTTATCCACATTTTAATTTGGTTCTTCAAAATACCAAGATCCTATCAATCAAGTCATTCCTTCAACCTAACGTCAGCCAAGATGTTAAATGTCCAAAAAAATGAACAAAAGTGTCAAATTTTAAATATGTGCATATCTATTATATTGACATTTTTCTCCTACCATGTCAAATTTAAACTATCTATGCGACATGTATAAATGTATTTAAAATTTTGAACTGTGTGCTTTGAAAATAACCATCATCGTATATGCGTCAACATTCAATGCCCAACTTGATACCTAAGACCGAAATAGTTATTTGATTGATATAATATTAATAGTTTAAAGATGAGTAAAGTATATAGAAGATTATTGAACTATGTTCAAATGATTGTTATGGCCATTAAACTTTAAAAAGTTATAGAATGACGTAAATTTATCAGCTTGTTATAAAATGATTATTGTTGTATTACATTAAGTGTAAAATTTTAATAAATTCAATAACTACTCTACAATAGTTCGATAAAATTTAATTATCATTTTATAATCAATTAAGAAATTTAATAATCATTTTATAACTATTAAAAGTTTATTGATCAAAATAATCAATTTAGTATAGTTAAGTGATTTCTGACATATTTTACCTTTTAAGATTTAATTAGATTTTTTAGCAATGACAATTGGATTTTATTAATAAAAGTAATAGAATTAATCAGGATTACAACGCACCCAAACATAGAACGAAAAACGAAGATAATATTCATAAAAAACTTGTACAAAAATATTAAACTCAAAGGTATAAAGAAAAATAAAACATTACCGTGAGAATGATGTCCAACTTCAAAATAACCTAGTAACCATAAAAAGTTATTGTTTATGTCAAACGAGATTTTTACAAAGTGGTAAAAAAATGTGAATGAATCACATTATCTGGCATGTTGCTTCGCTGCACAATTACGATTATATCGGTAAATAACTTTTTACCAAAAAAAAAATATAATCATACATGACCACCGACAAACTAATCAGAAAATAAATGTCTTGATGACCTTTATGTCAGCATTAAAGTGACTACAAAGGTATGTAAAAAAAATTCATAAGGAACTAATCATAAGAACATAAAAATATGTTCTACAAAATTAAAAAAAAAACGTGTCACAGGATAAAAATTCTTATACAAACCGAAAAGAAAAATAAATAACATAATTTTAAAGCATTTAATATATATATATAATATTTTTGTAAAATAAATAAAGATATAGTTTTTTATCTTTCTCTTTTTGTAAGGGTTGCTTTCATTTATATTCTTAGGAAGAAAATGATGATGTTTTTCCTTGCCAACGCATGAGTTATTCTAATATTTTTACTTTTAAATTGGAAAATAATATACAATTATGTGAATTTAACAACAATCAATTTAGCACAATTAATTTACTTTAGTAATTAAAAGAATCATTTTTGTTTTTAGAGATTACAGATTTGAACACTAACGACTACAATATAGTAATTAAGTGTTTGATTATCAAATAATTGAAAGTATTTAAAACATTTATTACTTTGTAATCACTTTATCTTAATATAAAAAAAATCAATTTATGCTATTAAAATATTAATATAAAAAAAACTTCCATATTGGTCAAATCTCAAAATAAGTTCATCAAAGTAGGCTATATGTGTGTGTGTGTGTTAAATCCTGTATTGATTTAATCCACAAAATACTATATTGCCTCGTTGAAAAAAATGAAAGCCACTTGAAAGAAATTGCGTCCACAAAGATTTCACACTCTTTCTATTTTGTTGTCTTCCATTTCAATCATTTGAAAAATGGGAGCCATTTGAAAGAAGTTTTAATCATAGATATTCATATAATTCAGGATTTGACAAGTTTAAATTATTACCTTGTAATTACTTTTTTCCTATTCTCCTATCTTTTTCATTCATAAGATTTTCTTTTTTTCACTCTTTAATTTAGTTTTCGCATAAAATTATAGTGGTTGTAATTTTGTTATACTTCTTCCGAATTTCTTTCGGCAAGCCACATCTTGACCCTATATCTGTCAAGGTCTCGAGAATTTCATGAAATTTTTAGAGTTTAATATCCTCCTGACCGTTACAGTCGCAATGACGGGCTCACATGATCTATCATAATTAAATTTATTATATAATCATATCTTTTAGTCCTATCAACTTACGAATAGTTATTATCATCCTAAGTCTATCACCAACGTTAATGATCAATATATAAACCATTATATTATAAATGTGAATCAATCTAAAAAAAATAAAAGAATGTTGATATTTATCAATACCAAAGAAAAATGTTACATACACCAGTTCAAATGTTCAATACTGATTATCTTAGTTTATTGTGAAAGTATATGTACTTAGTCTAATTTAACATAGTTTTGTAGACACTTATTTTCGTCTCATATATATATATATATATATATATATTATAGTTTAAAAATATTTTTAAAATATATATATAATATATAGTTTTGAAAACATGTTTGAAAACATTTACATATTATATAGTTTTAAAATATTTTTGAAAATAAATAATATATAGTTTTTTAAAACATTTTTGAAAATATATATATTGTATAGTTTTTTAAAACATTTTGAAAATAAATATAATATAGTTTTGAAAACATTTTTTTTGAAAACTTATATATATATAGCTTTATGAAACATTTTTTTTGAAAATTATACAGTTTTTAAAAACATTTTTAAAAAATTATATAGTTTAAAAAAATATTTTTGAAAATTTATATATAATACATATAGTTTTTAAAAAAAACATTTTTAAAAAATTTATTTATATATTTTAAAAATATTTTATTAATTATTATTATTATTTTTATTATTATTTAAATTTAAATTTTTACAAATTAAGACAACCGACAAATTAATTGGTACCGAAAGGGCGGTTTAAGGGTTTTAATCCTTCTTTGACCGTAAGCGACTCCCGAACCCAATATATTTCTGGTGAAACGCATATCAGGTAAGATGGTGTCCGACCCACCTAAATTCATTTTAAAATGGTCGGTAGCGACTCCCAATTCATTTAATCCAAGTCGAAGCCCAATTTCGGGGCTCAACCAAAAGACAGTTCCGACAGATTGGCGACTCCGCTAGGGACAAATAAGTGAGTTAGGCCGAAATTAATTTTCGGTTGTCTTTTTATGCGAAAATGGTAAATTTTAATTTATTTATTTGATTCCAATTATTTATATTTAATTATTTTTCAAATAAATAGTTGTACTAACGTTTTTTTAATGATTTTAGATTTTTCAAAATTTTCATCTCAGGCTCTATACTCGAGCTCCAAACCCTTTCTAAGTGGGGTGAAAGCGACGCCTTCGTGGGAATTTATTCTTCGTATGGGCCTAGCAAGTAACATTCAGGATTCATATACCTTATGCTTTCGTGTGAATTTATTTTCCGTATGGGCATAAGGCAATGTATCATCTCAAGTTTAACTTAGTCCACACAAGCTTGTAATGGGCTTAGGACTAAGGGTTTGACAAGCCCAAGGGGGCAAAAGCAAGGAGAACTCAAGTACCCTTTTAGAACATAAACCGGGAGAGTATAGGGAATTAGAGCCCACCCCAAAACCTCATTCCAAACCCTAGGTTGCTTTGATTTTATTTCCTACTTTACTTTCTGTTCAAAGCATGCGAACAAGACAAATATGTGGTTTAGGATTTGTTTGGAATTAGCATACGGGATAGAGATCATGTTCGGGTAGGAACAATAAGCATGTGGGGTATATATCATGTGGGATAGGATTTTTCATTTTTGATTTACCTCACTAACTCTTTTTATTTTTGTTCTCTTTTATTTTGTTTTCATCGTTTGCATCATTTAAAATGAAGTGTTGATCCACCAAAAACGTGTTTGTTAAGCATGAATAATCTGCATTAATGGACAAAGGGGTTATAATACAAAGAGATAAAAAGCTCAGAAGTCCAGCCGTGGTCAAAGAATACTCAGAGGCAAAGGTTGCATGGGCAAGACGAGGAAAATATTACTGACCTGGAGAGTTCTTTCGAAAACTACAAGAACAAGATGTCGACCCTAGCTAAGTTGGAGATCATTATTGACAAATTCTAGAAACAAGTCGATAAACTTCGGATGAAGGGCTCCAATGGCGCTTTCGTTTGGAACAAGCTCGATATAGAGTGAAAGTGGGAGATGCAATCCTTCGAGACCTTTTTTGGGGCAAGCAGCTTGTCACCTGCACAAGTTTAGCCAAAGGAGCCGGAATGGTTCGACAGGATATTCAACCAGTAAAAAAAATGGAAGACGAATCAACTTGTCAGAAGCTGTGCAGGATCTATACCATCAAAAAAAATTTTGTCTCTTCAGATGTAACACTTTTGTCCCCAATAAGGATTATTCAGAATAACAGGCATATTTTTTGGATCAATGCCTCGAACATTTCATGCATCATGCATTTAGACATATTTTGCATTTTTATTTTCATTCATTTGCATTTGAGAAGTTTGACGAAAACAATTGTCCATCCGCTCACATCACCATGTTTTACCGAAAAATGACATGATATTGAGGAAATGATCAACTCCTGATCCACTGCTTCTAAGAGAGTTTATCGTGTTCAGCCATCCGATGGTACAACCAGCTAAGCCAATCAAATATCAAGACCT